ATTGTACTAAACCCCACTCGCTCTGAAGGCAAATCGCTGTTTACTCCTCCAAACCCCAGTCAATGTACAAGCTCTGGGCGGCGCGCGGCGAAAGCATTATGAATTTAACACACGCTTTCAAGTATTTACTGAGCCAACTGCAGAGCCAGCCCCGAGCTTTCCACGGCAACATTTACTCTGGAACAACCTCAACGCTTATCCCCTACATTTCTGACAAAACTACCACCCAAAATCTTGCATTGCCAACAAAATAAATTTAAAAAGTGTTTGGTAATGTCTAAAGAAGCTAGTGGTGTTCTTGAATCGGCCACTGTGTATATTATTGGACATAGCAGGTGTTCATGGGGACGCTTTGGGCTCCATTGACTCTGGTTCCAATTAACTTGAGAAATTGTCACCCTTCTCTCTGTAACTGCTGCTGTGAGCCTCGTCATTTCGGTCTTAAAATGTTTGTATTAACCCGCTCTACATTTCAGATGCTACAGGCTTTTTACACCATATGTGCGAGCAAACTTTGTGGCAGATGACCTTCTAGAGGAAATACTTTGAGGGAATTAACTATTTCATCACCAACTGAAACACTAGAGCGAAGTAATAGTGAGGTCTTTCCTGCTGCGATGCCTGGAGGCTGCTGTGATGCTGCAGGAAACAGAGGAGGGACACTTTTGGCTTTTCCACGCGATCTGCTGACCCTCCATGACCTGTCCTCCTGTCAAACTGCACTGAGACCTTTGACTGCGACACAAAGGACACTGAGTCCCGTATTTTCTGGGCTATTAGGTGCGCTCTTAAGCCTCTAACCCCATCAAAAAACGACTGTGCCCCCTGCAGTCCAGAGCACCGTATACACAAATCCACTCGGGTGTCCCAGTACGACTTCAGTAAACTACAAAGCCGCACCACCTGCAGCGCACGCAAACACACATGGAGCAGACAGCGACCGCGCAGCGAAAAACACCCGCAGCCACACTCATCACTCCACGCCGACGAGGAACGGAGTAACAAACCGAAAAAGCGAATCCAATGTGCCTTTATGAGCCACAACTGAACAACTGAGTCACTGCGAAAACGCCGACAATCCAGCGGTCCCAGACAGAACCCTCCCTACACGCCACAACTGAACAAAGCCCAGAGTCACTGAACTGCCAAACAAAGCTTCCGTCCCACGCCGACAATCTAACGGTCCCAGACAGCACCCTCCCTACACACCACAACTGAACAAAGCCCAGAGTCACCTTGAACGTGCCAAACAAAGTCCCACTGACCCATCAAACTGTTGTGTTTCGTTTAAAGTCCGGTGCAGTTTATTTGTGAAAAAAGTTCGAAAATAGACCATTTAATGACAGTGCGTCTTATAATCCAAAGAGCCTAATAGCCCATAAAATACGGTATCTCTCTTTCCTGGAGTTTTTATTTTGCCATTTTGTCCGTCAATAAATTCACATTCTATATCTAATTTCTAATCTCCAAATTCACTCCTCTAACTGCTACCCTGATGAGGTTCGTCTGACTGGAGCTGAATGCAATGGGTGACGTGACACTCCCTTAGTTCATTTTTTATAGTCTATGGCAGGGGTGACAAACTCAAATTCACAGAGGGTCAAAATTAAAAACTGTGACCAAGTCGTGGACCAAACTAAATATTTATTAAAAAAAAAAATTCAGCGACATCTGCATGTTTTCTCTTCTTTCGAGATATGTAATGTTAAACCTTTTCTTATTAAAATAAATGTTTAATAATAGTTTTGATTAAACACTGAATCCAGAACAAGCATCATATAAAATAATAACAAAATTTTAAATAAATAATGTCTCAATAGTCTATCTGTACCTAGCGGGCCACCTCTAATACATATATGACATGATCTCGTGGGCCTAATATAATTATATCGCAGGCCAAATTTGGTCCCCCCGCCTGAGTCTGACATGTCTGGTCTATGGAATCGGCACAAGCAAAACAGGCAATAACATTTCCAAGATGAGACAAGAGGATGGACAACTTTCTACTAGAAAAGTTACATAATGCACCTTCAACGCAAGTACTAGGGCTGAAGGATTTAGGAAAAATATCACAACAAGCACATGACAAGCATAACTATTATGTTATTAGATTCTTTTTTCAGACCAAGAGTTTGTTTTTATACCTGACAGTTTCGACTACTCATTAGCGGTCTTCCTCAGAGTGTCATGATGTTGCTGTGACGTGTTTGATCCGTTGATTTAAACAGGTTCTGGCGCTGTCTTCCTACCGGTAGAGGCAGGATGACAGCGCCATCTGCAGTCCGACCTCTTCAGGACAGTATCCCAGGTGTGTAAGAGTAAAAAGCCCCCTGTTCTGGTTTATGGGCTTATGGGCACTTGTCCGCATTTCGTTGCTCTTTAATCCAGCGATGATGTTTGTTTTTTTCTGTCCCAATGATGTTTGCTCTGTCCCAGTCCATAATGTCGTTCTCTCTTTTCTGAGGAAGACGGCAGGTGACCAGTCGAAACTGTCGGGTATGAAAACAAACTCTTGGTCTGAAAAAAGAACCTAATAACATAAATTATTGGAAGACCAAACAAACCTCATTGGAGTATTACTATTATATTTGTGATTTATGTTTTAATATAAGGATTCTTTTCAAAGTTCACATTTTAAACCACAAGAATTTTGTTCAATCTCTATTGAACTAAAGGTTAAAGGTAGTTGGCAATGTAAAAACTACTGCTACATGACATCACAAGGTGGAACATTTTGAGCTTTGGAAATGTACTAATAATAAAGGGTTACTCAAACATGGTGAATAAAACAAAACACAATCCAAGGTATCCCAGCATTCTAACGTGACTAAAAGGTATCAAGAGTCAGTTTTTTGTGTTAGTTGTTGTTAGTAGATACATTTCTGTTTTTTCCTTTGCATTTTTGACAAAACTCCCACCAAAAATCGTGTGTCACAACAACAAAAAAACAAAAAAATTGCCTGGTCATGCCGAAAGAAGCTGCCGGCGTTCTTGCATGTGAATTGGCACACGCTGGCAAAACATTGGGAGTGATGGATGCGGCGTTCGCTTGGCGTTTATCTCGAGAAACAGATGCGTGTCGTGAACTAGCATAAGCGTTTGTAGCGGAGAAGTGGAGTAACCTTGTGGGGAGATTTGATGGAGAGATTTGGAAAAGCAGCGGCGTCTGATGGATAGAAGGAGGGAGACGTCAAGAGCATTAGTCAAATAGGACAGAATGGATGGAGACGGTTTTGGTTTATTCACACGGAGAGAGAGGAGGAGGAGGAGGAGGAGGATTTGTGATGAATGGAAAGTTGGCGGATATAGTACGAGTAACAATAAGGAATCAAAATAGAAATATAACACACTTTCTGTCATATTCCAGTGATGGGTTTGGCGCTTTCCAGTCTGCCCCTCCCCTCTTGTTTTGTCTGCCCTTATTTGGAAGTTCCTGGACCTGGCACACTTGGAACTAGGGCCCAATCATATGGATATTTTGCGGCTGATATGATACCAATAAAATGGATGAGTTTGAGCTGCTGATACCCGATATAAAAGCCGATATATTTAGTAATGTAAAAATTTGCTCTAAATCTTTTTTGAATAATAAACTTATTTTTGGCTCTGGATTTTAAACTGGGTTTGTTTAAGCGACATTTATTGTTATTCTGTCTTTTTACGTCATATTTAAAGATGGTAGGTCGGCCTAATGGCGTTTTTGCATGACATTCTAGCCTGTAAAGAAAGTAAGTAAACTACCACTATCAACCTTTAGAGGTAAATGCGTGCAAGATGTGTGTATTAATTACATCTGTAAATGCCGATCATTCACACTTCTGTTTACAGCTCACTTACAATCAATAAATGCGGGTCCAGTAATGTGTGTACAGCCATTATATTAATTTATTTTCATTTCATTTATTTTATTTGTTTGACCCAGGTACAACAAAATTCAAAAACAATAACAAAAACAGTGATATGTACATGAATATATTTGGGACCTGGTGCTCAAAAGGACTAGGATGAAGTTTAAAAAACTTATGGAGTCCTACCCCAATTATAGTCACTTTACAATAGGTCAATGTAAGAGAAAACAGGATGTTTATGTGTGGGAGCTACAGCAACTAAGGGCTAACCAATGAGAAAGAACCGAAAGTAGCTCTAAAACCGACACATTTGCAACACTCATCGCTCATACAGGCTCCTCTCAGATCACAAGTCTCCACAAATAAGTGTCTTTTTAATCCTGACTCAAAACGATCGTTCGTAAAAAGAATATAATCCAGCATGTTGCAGCAGCTGTGTGTGTCCTTAGTCTATGGGACAGTCCTCTCTGCTCCGCTCTCAAACAAGCAGTAGTTTTGTTGCTGGCCTAACCACGCTGAAGTTCACATTTATTTATCGTCAGTATCACGGATCAGACACAAGAGCATTTAAAGCCAGTTCCCTGTGCTCAGGTGTAAGCAAGCACACATGAGTCACGTAACTCTGGAGGTGTGTTCAGGGGCAGTACGGCGTCACAAACACAGATAAATTCTGATAGGCGCCACATATTAGGACATTTATCTCTCTGTAAATTGGATTAAATGGACATAATATAGTTTACGCTTCATAACAAGATATTACATGCCCACGTGGAAAAAGAAGAAGCGAGATTTAGACCGATAGCTGTCAGGCCCTACTTGGAACCTATGCTTATACACTGCAACTAGTAGCAGTTTATAAGCAGTAGTCCTGTGTTAGTCCTGTGTTAGTCCTGTGTCAGTCCTGTGTCAGTCCTGTTTTAGTCCTGGTTTTGTCCTGGTTCTGTCCAGTTTTAGTACTGTGTTAGTCCTGGTTTTGTCCTGGTTCAGTCCTGTTTTAGTCCTGTGTTACTCCTTGTTCAGTCAAATAAAGTTCCAGTACCGGCATCTTTTTTCTGAGTGAATGTGTGTGTGTTTTTTTTAACTCCATAGATTAATTCTACATCGAATAAACAGCATTTGTGAAAATCTGTCCACTCTACAATGTCTGCTTACCTTGGCGATGGTCTCGTGGAACTTGAAGAGTGGGTCGAGACTCTGAGGAGAGTCCACGGAGAACTGGGCCTCTGACAGCAAACTGGAGGTCTGAAAAAGAACCACATCCAACACGTCAAATGACTGTAATGAATCATGTATTTTGAAAAGCGAGCAGAGGGAGGCGCTTTGAGGATTTGTGGATTTAACAAAGTTCGATGTCTCTTCTGCTTAGATCCTTTCTTTTGCCCAATCAGGGTTACTCAGACAGGTGTGAACAAAACAAAACATGACTCCAGCAGGGGTGTAGTGGGTGTGGTACACGGGGGTACGCCGTCCACCCACTTCTTCCAAAGTGAGATATAAAAAAACAAAAAACAAATATAAAATAGGTATAACTTAAATGTCAAACCGGAGCTATTGGCAACGGTGAAAACAACCTGCATAGGCTCATGATATCTGCAGAACTGTCCTAAAGTGACCTGAGACATGAGGGACCAGGACTGAACCAGGACTAAACCAGCACTAAAACAGGACTGAACCAAGACTAAAACAGAACTGAACCAGGACTGAACCAAGACTAAAACAGAACTGAACCAGGACTAAAATAGTACTTAACACGGACTAAAACAGCACTCAAACAGGACTAAACCAGGACTAAACCAAGTCTAAACCAGGACTGAACCAGAACTGAACCAGGACTGAACCAGAACTGAACCAGGACTGAACCAGGACTAAACCAGGACTGAACCAGGACTGAACCAGGACTAAAACAGGCCTAAACCACATCTAAGCCATGTCTAAACAAGAACTAAACTAGGACTGAGTGCCAGGATAGGCCTGGAGGTGTGCCCACGTAAACTGTCAGGTGACTTCGAGAGTAAGAGCAGCCGTTGCCTGATGATGCTTTGCGGTCACCCTGCTCCACGGGCTTGGGGTTCTCTTTCTCGCTCTCAAGTCCAAGATTAGTCCTGGTTCATGTTCATGTTCATGTTCATTGTAGCCTATGATTTATGTTCTGTAGGTGATTATGAACGGCGTTAATCTTAATAACATGATACCGCATAATTTTGAGTAACAAACTGGCAACTTTATGTTAGTACTGAAAGTTAGTTTTGTTTTGTTTTTTAAATAAACAACCTATATGACACCTGTGTGTATTTTGGCATGTCAAGTTCAGTGTATGGCTTTTGGGGTGGAGGTGGATGGGGGTGGGATCACGTGCCCCCACTTAAAAAATTCCCACTACGCCATTGAACTCCAGGTATGTTTTTGACAAGGAAACAACATTATAAGAGCGTAATCCGGACCCTTAAATCTCTCAACCTTAAGGAACACCTCCACAAACACAGGCAGAACATGCACTCTCTAGTATCAGCATTCAACCCGCAACCTTTTCGCACACAGAGACAACGCTAACTAGGCCATATTCCCGTCTCCTACCTCACAGTGACACCAGCGCTCCGGAGTTGTCCTTCCACCACTATGCAAATGTATGTTAGCGATGAAATATTCTAACGCCCTTTACTTTGGATGGAGGCCTTAAAGTTGGTTTGATGGCCGGAGATTCTGCTGACCGAGCTGGAGATAGCCCGGCGTAAATGTGGAACCCGGAATACGGCACACTTACGAAGATGGGTCTATCTCCCTCTGCACTCGGCCTGAACTTCAATTAAGAGTAGTCCCCATTCGCGCCAGCCATTACCATGTCATTTGAATACATTTTATGCTCCAAAGATCCAGATACGGTAATATTAAAAGTAACATTCTCTGTTCGTGTTGGAATTGTTTCGAAATACGAGATTTATTCATACGTTTTAGATGGTGAGGAAGTTGTAACCTGGTTTTATGGAAATTCGTGAACTGAGCTAAGAAATGGCTGGGCGATTCGATACTAAAAGGTGTTAAAAAGTCTTATTGTGGAAATTAAACAAATGTGAATTCAATGTCAGTTTTAAAATTCATGTACTGATGAGGCAACGTCAAATCTGTAATAGGTTTAAAGGGCCCGTATTATGAAATTTCTGTGTTATACTGTTGTTTTCTCATCACAAACAGACCTGGAGTTGTGTTTTGTTTCATTCACAGATGTTTAACACATGTTTAGAGTTCAAGTTAACAGCTACTTTTTATCTTTAGTTCAGTAGAAATTAGTAATTCCAGGGATGAAGTTATGTAAATCAGTGGTTCTCAACCCCCGGGCCGTGGACCGGTACCGGGGCCTGGGTTGTTTGGTATTGGGCCGCGTGGACCGTGCCTCCTCCTGTGTTTCCCACGCCTCTAAACCAGAACTAAACCCAGAACTAAAATCAGGTCTAAACCAAGTCTAAACTAGGTATAAACTAGGTCTAAACCAGGTCTAAAACCAGGACTAAAACATGATTTAACCAGAACTAAACCAGGTCTAAACCAGGTCTAAAACCAAGACTAGACCAGGACTAAAACAGGATTTACCCAGAACTAAACCAGGTCTAAACCAGGTCTAAAACCAAGACTAGACCAGGACTAAAACAGGATTTAACCAGAACTAAACCAGGTCTAAAAATAGGATTAACCAGGACTAAAACAGGACTTAACCAGGACTAAAACAGGACTTAACCAGGACTAAACCAGGTCTAAACCAGGCCTAAACCAGGCCTAAACCAGCTCTAAACCAGGCAAAAAAACAGCTCTAAACCAGGCAAAAAACCAGGTCTAAACCAGGTCTAAACCAGACCTAAAACCAGGTTTAAATCAGGTCTAAACCAGTTTAAAAACAGACTGGAGCACTTCTTGCATTACTGCGTGACATCACAACGTGGACCAAAGTGTTTTCATTTTGAGGAAAGAACTCAGGCTGAATATGCAAATTTGTGTGTTAAATGTGTGAATGAAACAAAACACAACTCCAGGTCTGTTTGTGTTTACAATAACATTACAACATAGATCAGAAAATAATGTATTAAAGACCCTTTAAATCACAAAATCAGGTATCTTAAAAAAGCAACCCAAGAAATGTCAGATCAAAACTTTTACTCGAGCACTGTTACATCATCAAATACATTACTCTAGTAGCAGTAAAAGTATGCAGCCTAAAAACTATGCTGAGAAACATTTTTCAAAAAGGTTTTCAACAGATATAACCACACACCTTCTCATAAAAAGTTAAAGTCCAGCACCTAGACGGCATGCTTCTAGAAAGAAAGTGTTTAAACTGAACTTTTAACCATGGCGTCCATGAGTCATCCCCTCACACACACTAATGAATCTCCATGGAGCTTTCATGAGGCCAGAATGGTCCAATTAGAACAGACCCAACTCTACGACTTCCCGCTGGGGACAGGTTAGTCAATCCTACATAACTTAAGAAACTACTTCAAATGTTCAACTTTAACAATTCAGAAGAGTTACGTATTTGGAGGAGAAGCTATTAGCTGTTGTACTGCTCACTTTAAAGGTTACGCAAAATTGACTTATAAGTTTTTAGCTGTGTTAGAACGTTGTTACCTCCTAAAAAACATACCTGGAGTTGTGTTTTGTTTCATTCACACATGTCTGAGTAATCCTTATTTATTAGTTTGTCAACATTTCAAAAGCTCAAAATGCTCTGTTGCACCTTGTGATGTCATGAAGCAGTAGTTTTCAAGTTAACAGCTCCTTTTACCTTTAGTTCAGTAAAGATGGGCAATTCCAGGGCTGAAAGTATCCAAATGATTCTAGTGAAGGTGCATGGAGTTTAAAAACACGTCGAAGGACTTCCACATGACATCAACAGAGTGTAAGGGGGCAGATATTACACTCTGTTCCACCGATACAAATCTATACTTCTTTCTGCTCCTTTTCATTCACATTGATGTATGAACCATAATGATTTTATATTCAGCTTTCATGAACAAAAAAAAAAAATGAAATGAAAATTCAGATTGAGAGAAGAACCCAGCCTAGATATACAGGTTTGTGCGTTAAACGTGCGAATGAAACACAACTGCAGCTGCAACTGTATGTTTGCGATGAGGAAACAACATTCCAACATGGCTAGAAGCTCACAAGAGTCAATTTTGTGTTATGTAGACCCTCGACACCTCGTGTCTCCGCCGCTCAATTTATTTCTATGACTAGGTCAGGAATCGGAATACACTAGACGGTTCGCAAAACCCCCAGAACTTGTAGATCGCACACCGGTGAAGAGCTGTGAAGCCATGACATCAAACTCAAGCGCCTGTCTGGGTCCCTTTTGTGGTACAACACAACAGTAAACAAAGCAGTCGAGATGGATGAAGACGACCGATTCCCAAGATCGAGGATTTAAAGCCGGAACAAAGAGAATGTTTGGTGAATTTTAAGAGGAAAAACGTTATTGTCCTTCTTCTTACGGGATTTGGCGCATTACGTCACGACAAAACAGCAGCGACTGGTTAAATAAAAAAGTACCCTCCTACTGTCGAGTGAATGAATTCTCATTCTCCGAGGTCAGACGGTTTCCACAAAGTGAAACCGGCTGATGAATCAGGCTAGTCTAAAGCAGGGGTCTCCAACCTTTTTCCTCCTGTGAGCTACTTTTTGTAAAACGAAAATGCCAGAGAGCTATTCATTGTAGCAGTCGAGTAAATACAAGAGCCACGGCAAGCTTTAGATGAGGTACAGTTAGATGCTTATAAAACATAAACCATTACACACTATTATATCAGTGCACAAAATTAGGCAAAATTATACATTTACACTCGAAATAGGCATTTAATCAGTCAAATTTGAGTTATTCAGCGCAATATGTATAATTCTTTGGCAAGCTACTTGGAAGGGGGTGGAGAGCTACTGTTACCTCCTGAGCTACAAGCTGGAGACCTCTGCTTTAAAGTGTGCACTACAACAGCTAAAAGCTTCTCCTCCAACATATATAACTTATAACAGAGATCAGGAAATAGCATAATACTGTCCATTTAAAGAGGGAGAATTGTACTTCTATCTATCGTACTTGCTAGATTCAACTTCTTAGGTTCTTTTTATCCCAGCCCAGCTGGGATACTGACATTGTTTGAGTGCTTGTATGATGTGTCTCTCCTCTTCCTCCCTGTCGGTGTGGTCTGTGATGAGTGTGGCCCGTTCGAATAGTGTTCTTACTACTGAAAGTTTCA